GAAGGGCGAGGTGGGGCAAGGCGGGGGAATATTTTGTTGGAAATATTACTTACACATAAGAAAATGGAGAATAAAACAAATCGAATTACAAAGAAGATCGAAAGAATTCTCAATCACGTGATCGTTGTTCTCAAACGATATTTTTTCTCTCTCAGATTGAATTTTGGTGCTTAAAGGGATTATCAGCAAATGGTTTGTAAGATTTATCAAGCCTTGAAAACGATTAATCACTTAAGACTAAGTGTAATCCTCCAAAACTTGAGAACGCAAAATCAGGATATGAATATGATAGGGAGAAATTTTTTATTCTTTTGTGGAATGAAATTAGAATCACAAAATTGATTTTTTAAGTGCGTTGCAATGAAAATCAATTACTTATTTGTAGGCTTCAACGAGACTCCATGAAGTCATGCCAAAACAAGATGAAATGCCACTTGAAATTCAAACAAAAAGGGGCCATAAAGGCTAGGAAAAATGTTCCATGCAACCGCATAGATCAACATACAGCAGGACCTAAATGCCCATGCAATCACAGCCTCTTTTGGCCTATGCGGAGCCTCCAAATTTAGTTTTCATTCGACATTCATTTTCATTGACTTTTGAACAACAATATACAACATATGAACACCAATTTGCAACTTGAACAAAAATCAAATTCTTTGAACGAAATCTTTAAAAGAATGCAACTTGATGAGGCAAAAGATGTTAGGATGAGAATAATCTGCACATCCTATGATTAGAATAGATGATATCTCAACAGAGGAAAAAATAGTCGTGCAAACAAGAAAATCATATTTTTTTACTCATGATATAGAGAACCATAAAGACATTAATGTGCAATTAAACAAACACCAAGAAAAAACTAGTGTAGAGAATAATGAAACGCGTAGACAAGCAAATTGCAAGCATAATAGAGGCGGCACAATGAATTTAAACCCTTATTTAACAAACATTATTTGAAAACTCATTTTTCTACATGTTCATTTCAACCACACATTTAAACAAACACCACAAAAAAAACTAGTGTAGAGAATAATAAAATGCATAGACGAGCAAATTGCAAGCACAATAGAGGAGGCACAATGATTTAAGCCCCTTGTTAGACAACACTATTATTTGAAAACTTATATATATATTATTTTTTATTTTTTTTTCCAAATAATAGCCATCAAATGGGGGCTAACTTGGCTCATACTATGATAGATTTCCTATATAAAATTGAGAATATAAACCAATTATACTCAATAATGATATTTGTTTAACACCATTCTAGGTATTCATTAAGTGTCCTTAAATGATTGAACGTCTTAAATGACAGTTAACGGACTCCTGAACTTACTCAATAGAATAAACCATTTGACCTGCCTCCATGAACAAAATGCTCTAGGTCAAAATATTGACAAATCAATACAACACGTGAGATAAATAGAACGATATAGGTTACACAAAACATACCATAATTCTCAATCCTATGAATATATTGCTATAATGTTTATTCCAAAAATATCATGTCAACTTGAGCTTATCAATCTGACATGGTAAAGGAAAAAACGATCAAAGTCAGAAGGTTAATATAGTGAGTCACAAATGGGAGCTGAGCCTGAGCATAAAACCCAAGAAGTTGAGCTCAGAATGCCACGTAAGACCGCTAAGTTCCAAGTCAACTCTACTAATTAGTTGAAACAATCAAAGACAAGAAGAGCATGAAATAGCCAGCTCTACCATCAGTATCTCTAGCCTGTAGGTAGACCAGTTCAGTCCAGAAGGTTCACAATTAGTCAATTTTCGACGAAGTTCATGTTGTTAATAGTATTCTTAACTTCTCTTTCTCTGTGTCTTTCTATCTTGTCTTAAAAACTCACCACAAATTCTACTCAAATAGGATTGGATTTTTATGAAACTCGCTCCATGCAAATACATGAACAGAAACTAATACATGCCCGCCAAATGTAAACATCTTCTAGAATATTCTGCCACTAATGAATAAACTGAACTTCATATCAAAGAAATTCTATATGCTCCTTAACATGCATAAAACCTTGCAGCTGCATGGATGAAAAAGAAGGTCGTCTTCTTGGAAACAAAAAAGAGTTGATTTTCAATTTTTCATGCATGAAACAGAATATAAAGAAAATAAAAACAAGATAATCTGGCCTGAGACCTTAAACAGTTTCAGAAGAAATGTCGAGAGAGAGAGAGATTAGAGATAATCAAATCTACGTACTCGAGATGAGAATTTTTAAGCTAAGGAAGACCACAGATATATAAAGTGGACCACTTAAATTTCATCCAATGAAATTACTCCACGTAATCATGTAGTCGATTTCACATCTGAATCCATCGACCTAATTGAGTAGGATTAACTATTCCTGGAATATGGGCCCCATCACCCTTCAACAAGCTTGCCACCTCAGCATAGCTCTGCTGTTTTATCTTCCCGCTCGGCTCAGCTTCAACACTCTGTAGACCATGACTCTGACCAGGCTTGTTTCTTTTCGAGTCGGCTGAGTTCACTGGAACAGCCTCGGCTCTAGCCGGGTCAAATTTCTCCCCAAGCAGAGTTCCCTTGGTTAAAAACTCGTAAGCCATATAACCGGCTAAAAGCCGGTTCGAACACATCGGCTGCTTCTCTGACGACGTCGTTGGATTCCCACTACTAACGGCAGGATTAACGGCTGTTACTTGAGCTAACGGTTTCGATGACTTGACATGATAAAATGCCTCTCTTTCTTTTCGCTTCCGTGACGGAACGGGCATCAACGGTCTACGTGAGTTATAACTCATCCTAGCCGTCCGTTTATTCTAAAGAGAGAAAATACAATTAAAAAAGCTTGCCACGTCAGCACGAATCTTGGGCAAAATGGTCAGAAATAATTTGTTCACAAAAAAGGACAAGAAACTATGAAAAGGGCCCAAACAGAAAATGAATAAGAAAAAAGAAAAGGAAATCTTAGATCGAAGTCCAGAAATGGTATTTAATTTGTAAAAATAAAAAATTTTAAAATTTCTCGACAGTGTTTTAGAGAGAGAAAGAGAGAAACTGGGTATTATGGGGTGATTGAAAAACTCAGATTTAGATTCTCCGGGAACTACGAGACGATGGTGGATCTCGGCGAGATGACGGTGGTGACAGCGGTGGCGCCGCCGCGGGCGGTGGAGCGAGAGGGAGGTTGGAGAGATAACGGAAGGCTCAAGGCTGAAAGAATTTGAGGTTTATAAATAAGGCAAGAGAAAGTGGCGTTGGCGACAGGGGGAGTGGATTATCGATATATAGAGAGTGACGTCAATATATTACCCTTGACGTTTAATATAATTACTTAAATGCCATCCCTCATTTCTCCCCCTCCAAAGAGATTGGCTTTTAAAATGACAATGGTACCCTGTCCGTACTACAGTAAATTGCCGGCTTTGTGTAACGGAAATTTGAAATTGAGGGTATTTATGAATTTTCATAAACTGCCAGAGTGTAGGTAGCATTTTCCTTGGGGCAGATTTGGAATGCTCACCAACTCATAATTCTCAAATTAAAAATTGCTTATTTCCCCCCAACTTTTAATTTTCAATTTTCTCTCTCTCTCTCTTCATTGATCATACATTTTTCAATAAAATAATATTACACGTACATTCAAAAAAAATTCTATTTTTTAATCACACATTCTGCATTAATCCACTTTATTAGAAAATAATAGGGTTCAAACAGACCCTTATGAATCCACTTTTCTCAACCAGTAAGTCTTAACTCAATATATATAAGAATAACTTTTAAGAAGAGCAAAATATGTTTTCAACATTCTACTTTATAAAATCGTTGATTAGACATCGTTATTTACATTGATATGTTAAAGTTACGAGAATATAATCTTTATTGAGAGATGTGACGATTATTTGATTTTATTTTTCATTTTTGGATAAGTTGCTAAATAATCTCGTCTATTAATGTGTTAGCCATTTTATGAGAATTTTTTTACATATTTTTTAAATTGCATTCAACAATATCAAAATATGTGTACGACTTTTATAGGAGAAAAACAATTTTCATCTTCCAATAATGTTGAGACGTAGTAATTCCTTAAATATAATTAGAATTTCAAGATTTTGCTTTTGTATTTGAAAATTGTTCTTACAATATTTTTCTAAAAGACGTGTTCTTTTTTAAGCATTACGCTACTTCTTCAATGACGTAGACTTATAGTGGTCAACAATGTGTTATATAGAAATTACAATATATAAAATAGCAAAATCATTAACTTAATAACAAAAATGTAATCACAAAGAGCAATATCCATGTTACGATTACATATTATTACTCGTTCGAGATTTATCATGAAGAAAATTTTCAATTTTGAATATTTCTTGTATTTAGTTACATTGATTTTGTTAAGTTCAAATTTCACTAGCAAATCCTAATTTTGAAATATTAATTAAACAATAGAGATGTTTACTCGATCTACTTCAATCAAGAGAAATTTTAAAGTTAATCTAAAATATAGTTTCACTTGACACATAAATAAGTGCATATGATAATGTGTTCTAATATTAGAAGTTTTAATTCTTTTTTTTTTTTCCCTAACAACATTTGTAAAATCAAAACGTACTAAATAAATACACAACATATTAAAACTCATTGTAGTACTATTCGTGTCAATTACCTTTTTCCAAGTCGAATACGACATTATCTGACTTATCTTGCAAAGACGATGGCGTGCCAATCGTATGAAAAACACCACAAGAAAATTTGGTCCCCCTGATAGTGATGAAATGCTACAAAATTTGTGAGTGGGACATAGATCTCTATAAAGGAGTAAATCAGACTCCATCATTTCATTATAATTGTACCATCGGTCTTCTATATTAATGACGGTCCAATAATTTATTATTTCATCGAGCGATTCTAACATGTCTAGTTTTACAAAGTTGTAATTTTTATATCTTTTATTTTGATAGGTGTTGATGGATTTAAAGTGTGGCATGTTTATATGAAGGTCGTGTGAAAAATTAATTAGAAAAATATATGATTGTCATCGTTAGGGCTAAATGTGCTATTATAGACAAAGGTTGACAATAATTTGCACCATTGTAAAGGTTACATACTAATTTTCTACTCAAACAATAATTCAAGGACTATTGGTACAATTCACTCTTGAAACTTGCTAATTGCTTGTATATCATTTTACATCAAGGGATTTTTGTGCAAATCTTAATTTATTATTCCGTGATATAATTTATTATATGTTGACTTCAGATCCCGACTAGAAGGGGTGGCCCATAGATTTGTATCCCACTCTCGTCCATCTGTTAAGTTTTTGCATAATTAGGACAAATGTTAAGTGCACGTTATCTTCTTCAATAGTGGGGAGGCGATCGTCGACATTCTGATGCCCTAGCCAATCAAGAAATATCTGGATGTGTGATAGAGAATGAACAAGAGTTAAAAAGTGTGCATGGATCCAAGTTGAAGATATATTACCTAGCAATGTTCCTATTGAATGACACCAAGTGCTAACTTTTATAGCGAAAGGAAAGAGATGATTACTTTTGGATGCATGACATGTGACCTCATCCTAACGGCTCATGGTTTGTCTCATAGACATCACATCTAGTTATCATAAGTCCGGGACGACTTTATATGAACCTAAAATTGATCATCCTATGGTCTAGGCTTGCCACCTAAAAAGTAGACTAAGGGGGTATCTACTACAAAAGTGTCAGCAACTATGGTCTAGGCCTATAGAGTAAAAAGTATATGCTACTTTTAAGTAGTAGGCCTAGACCATAGGACGATCACTTTTGTAATAGATACACTTTTGTAGATACCCCTCAGTCTACTTGAAAAGTGTAGATACCTCTCAGTGTGACCTTAAATGAATTGAAAAGTGATTGTACTATGGTCTAGGCTTGCCACCTAAAAAGTGACACTTTTCAAGCCTCATCTAGAAGGATTTTTAGGTCAGAGCGATGTCATCGAAGATGCCTTGTAAAATGAAGGCCTATCACTAAAAAAATGCACTGTAGCCAATTGTGGGACCTCACTTCAACTATGAAGATTTAGCGTCTACATGTCGCTTCGACTGAGGTACCCAAATCACTTCGACCTTCATGTCTAATCACCTTGGTTGAGCTTTAGAAGGCAAAGTCACATGGGGTGCGAGCCTTGGGTGGCTTCTAGCAATTTTCTTAGCTGGCATCCACATGGGACACGGCGTAAAAATAGTATTCCAAGTTCATAAATGAATATTTATATAAGGTGTGGATTTGGGTAGGATCTTGATGTTACAGTTCACAATGGAATGACTTAAGGTTGGACGTGACACTGGAATGTCACAGTACAATATAGCAAAATGAAATAGACCTATGGCAAATCAAATCTAAATTACAGCTGTACATGGCAATGAGGACATCGCCTATTTTGGTAGGGGAGTAACTTACATCCCCAACGGTCGAGGCAGATACACCCAGGTTACAACTAGGAAAATTAGGTAGCGTAGGCAGTACGCTACTGTTGGACGTAACTACTTGCGGTGAGAGACACGGACTAGGAAATTTAGGTCTCACAGGCAGTGTGCTACAGTAGAATGAAACTACCAACGGTAAGGGATGCAGGTGGAGAAAACATTGGCACTGCGATAGTGGACGCATGCAGGTTTATTGCAATTACTCAGGGGACATGAGCAAGAAAAACTCAGGCAGACTGTATAGGCACTACAACGAAAATCACTAGCTGTAATATTGGTAGAACACAGGTAACAAATGCAATCACGCTGTGTAGGTAATATGCAGGTTGGGAAAATGTCGATAAGGGACGCAAGGATGAAAGATAGATTTTCTAGGTTGAAAACCATTATCTTAATGGAGAGAAATACCATGGACTGCAAACGGTGATTTTGGATGCAAGTGGGTGCCAACTTGTGCAACTTGCATGAAGAAGAAAAATCCGACTTGGCTACTACAACTTGCTTTAAAAAGCAAAGTAAAGCTTGACTGTTATTTGGTCAAAGGAGGAAGCAAAGTTAAACTTGAATACTTCTTCTACAAAGGGGATGCATTGTGCATGACTACCAGCATGGAATTGTAGAGCCATGCCAACTTGAATAAAGTCCAATTGCACAAGAAGAAGAGATTTATAAGTGGCAAAGAAGCAAAATTCAATTTGAGTGTCGTTTGCACAATGGAGATGGATTGCAACTTGCAACCAATAAAGGCCCTTGGATCAATTAAATCTTGGCTTTTTAATTCCAACTTGCTTAGCAAGAATTTGGCTATAAATAGAGGTGTTGCATTCATTTGTAAATCCCCTGGAATGAATGGATAGAATTGAGAGTTGAAAGAAAAATTCCATGAATGGAATGGGGGTAAAGTGAGATAATAATCTCATCGTGGGATTTAAGATTGACTTAATGCTATCTCGTGGGACAAGAGTTGGGAAGCGTTAAGGTCGCATAGTGCTAAAATAGTTCGGGAGTCACGAAATTAGCACGTGACATTGAGATGGATAATGTATGTGAAGTGAGGGCTTAGAAACTCCCTTTAAAATTCAACTAGACTAAAGTAATGTAGTGATTGATGTTCAATATCTGGTAGTCGTAGGTGGAGAAGTAATTAAGTCATTGTCCGTAGCTTTTTGTGATTGATCAGGTTGTAAGTGTTATAGTGGTACTCATTTCAAGGTAATATTAAGGCGAAGTAAATAGTTGTCTTATTGTGATAAGGCATAACAAGATCATTCCCAAGGCTAGACATGATAATTTGTAAAAGGCATGGACTTTTACTATTGAAAAGGCCTACAATAAGTACTGTAGTGAAACTCAATTTTGTCAGGGCGAGGTTACTATACATAGAAAGAGAGCAATTGTGGGAGCGAAGCTCCTAAGGTAGGGGTGAAAGCCTCTTTCCATGGATGAGGAGCTGCTATGGAGACAAGTTTACATATTGTAGGGATAAGGTCCCTATACTTGAACAAAATATAGTTACATAAATGAAGTTCCAGGTTTCAAGGATGAGGCATCTTCACTTAGGAGAAGCATAGTCGCAAAAGTGAATCCCCATATTTTTAAAGATGAGGTAACTTAAGTCACACCTCTGACATGAGAAGAAAATAATGGGATGCATAACAATGATTTGAAGGGTTACATGTTTTAAGAAGCGACATCTACAGTGTTTTCATGGTTTTAAGACACATATTACCCTAGGCAATACATGACAATGATGACCTACAACATTGCATCTTTCGAGATCATGCATTTCTTCG